GACAGTCATCCAGGACTGCGGCAAAAAGAAAATATGTTTGCAGCTGGAAGGAGATTTGCCTATTCTCCCTCCTCCACCAGTGGGTGGTCACGAACACGCTGAAACACTACAGGCTATGATTAGGGAATTTATCACCATCCACTACCAGCTTGCCTGTGGCAAAAAGACTCCGACCCCTTGGACTTCTCTTGCCACTCATCAGTTGATCTTGTGGGACACACAGATGTGGCCTGCTCGTGTGATGGTCCGGGATCCAAGTAAAATTGTTCTCAACGACTGCCGAAAAATTGTACAGTTATGGAGAGAAAGACAGTCTGAAGGTGGGGCCAAAGATACATTCAAGTTCAAATTTTATCCAGTGGGGGATGGAATACAACCTGCCATTTATAATACCCAGTTGGAGACTTTGCCAACTTCCGCGGTGATTGACACCCCGACGGTCCCTCCAGCACTTCCCAGTCCCACACCATCGGAGGGGGCATCGACACCCACGGCACGGGAATGCCCGACGGCCTCTCAACCAGTTTCCTATCCCATGCCGTCAGAGGAATCCACCCCCGCGGCGAGCAGACGTCCTCCGACGGTGGACATGCCAAGTTCCCACACTTCACTGCCAGATACATTTTTTCAAGGAAGAATTACCCCCATGGGGCCTCCTGTCCCATCCATTCCAACCCCAGCCATTACCCCAGAGCCACAGACAGCTCCGTCGGATAGGGCCTTCACGCCCGCGGCAGAAGAATCTCCAACAATGCAAACTACACCGACACAGGTTCTGCCATCCATTCCCACCCCAGGCATTACCCCTGAGCCTCGGTCTGCTCCGACAAACACCCTAGTTAGTGGTCCCCAAGTGTTGACCGCCCAGGCAATAGGGAGAAACCATGGGGGCGACAAAGAGGTGGAATCTGACCCCACCACCAATAAAAGAACTATGACCCATGAACCCGAGAGCGATCCCTCTACAGATGAGGATGGTGGAAGACGTCGGATACAGGCTCGCTTGCAAAAAGCTTTGGAAGCCCAATCGCCTGAGAGAGGGCCAGAGGACAACCATGAGGATCTGCCGCCAAGAGTTGGAAGAAAGAAAACAAAAAGTATCTCTGGCAAGAAGAAAACAAAAACTAGGAAAACGTCCAGTTTACCGAATCAAGACAACCACTCAACCAACAACGATGACAACCCGGCAGAAGAGCACCAACTGCCCTGCCGGAAGAAAAAGCCAACCCGACCAATCAGCCCACACTTGCCGTCGGATAGCACTCCCATCGGCGGGGTAGCGCCGCGGGGAAGAAAAGCCAAAAAGACACCAGCGACACAGGAAGACTTTAGTCCCTCACCCTCTGGAAGTGATGAAGATGCACCAGAAGAACCAAGATATAGGAAACGAGGGGGCAAGCACCCGGCGGTCAAAAGAACGGCTAATATCAATCCAACACCTACAGTTCCTCCTGCTGTAAGACGAAAACAATGTCCGCGGCCAATCAAAAAGGGTCCCGCGGCATCGACTGAATATAACCTGGCACCCCCAGCACAATTAAGGCTGGAAAAAGAACGTGAAAGAAGACTTAGATAATTTCATAGACAGGTATATGGATTCTGAACACGATGTTCAATTCAATGCATCCAACAATGGAGATATTTTCTTCAACACAGAACATCATGCTTATTTCAATGAAACAAACAATTGACATGAAAAGGGCATTATTTTTTGCAAGGTAACAAGATATATGTATGTTACATGAATGAGTGGGTAGGTACAGGAGCATAAGATGGGGGGAGGTGAGGGTGAGAAAAATGGCAAGAAGACGAGACAGTCCATTCACCCTTGCACGAACTCAAGCAGTCTGTTGGTCTC